AAAAGATTGGTATAAGACCGGTCCTATGACCGGACCAATGGTCTTTCGGTCTGGATCGGATCGTTCCCATCCCTAGTGATCGACATCCCGGAATTTTTATTTGGAAATTTGTGCTCACATGACCCGATTGAAAAATTGTTTATCTAAATCTCGACTTTACAAAAAGTAAAATATTGACCATGAAGACGAAAAGTTTAGCTGAGGAAATTAAAAGCTGGGGTCTCTACCACGCAAGTAAGCTTCTGTTCAAACTTCCATGATCACAAGAAGCAACTTCAATATCTTCACCTTTCTTTTTCTAGTATACTGGAGTAGTGATCTAAACTCGTGGGGTAGTTTGTGCGACTGGGATCTTTATTTTATCGACAAGAATCCTGAATGTACTAAAGAACAAGCACATCAGTCCCTGAGTCTTGAACTTGATATCCTCCTTAAGAATATGCCAAATAGAAGTCTACAGTATTCCAATGCAAAAGCCTTGAAAAAAACTTTGAAGGTCAGTGCTTTTCTTATTATGTTTCATGATAGGATGATAGGAGCACATTACCATGCCCTGCAGTTGTGTTCTGAGTGATTTTTCACACAAGGTAACGTGCGCTGTTACCTGAAGTGGGAAAGTATATTATAGTCTGGACTTTTAGGTCCCATTATAATACGCGTTGGTAGCTCCGTTGATTATTTGCTAATGACCCTGCAGTCGTGTTCTGAGCGATTTGTTCGCACAAGGCAACGTGCGTTGTTGCCCGAAGTGGGAAGCATGTTATAGTCTGGGCCGTGGCCCCATTATAGCATGTGTGGCTAAGAAGGCAGTCAATTAAGCAATCTGCGATGAAACATTTTTAGTCTAATTTTTCTTTCACTATTTTCACCAGAATTCTGATAAAGATTCCGCGAATAATTTGATATGGAATGAACATCTTACAAAATTAACAGCACTGGCTGTTTCAGATCGCGTACATAAAGTATGTATTGTCTTTGGTCTTACCAATATGCTTAACATTATATAATATTTACTACAACCATTTGTTGTTAGCGCAAAATCGAAAGTATTACTATACAAGAAGAGATTGGGCGAGCCGAAGAGCAGATGTCAAAACGTCATCAACGTGAACATACTCCGGAAGATAAGGTATCCATTATGTTTTTAATGTATTGCTCACTAAAAAATGTCTTCTCACTTCTCAGGTGCTTCTGCAGATAAAAACTATCAACGTAGATGAGGTCCCGTCTGCTACGACAACTTCGTTATATGCTCCGTCTTCTCCACCTAGTCCTGTTGACGAGGAATATATAATGGTAAAAGATCGTAGTTACTGTTTGGACTACCTTACTGGTCCTGGTGTCCCCGAATGGCAACTGGACGAAGGTTCAACTCGAGTAAGCATTTTTTAATGCGTAACGTGATATGAATGAAATTCTATTTATGCTATTTTTTATTTGTTATTCCTCTCTTTCCAGTGGATCGTAAACAACACCGACATCACTGAGGTATGTCGTGAATATCGTACAATTCTTATTAAAAAATGTGAATCGATGGAGGTTACTCTGAGTGCTACGGAAGAACTGTAAGTATCATATAGTAATATAAGTTATGAAGACATGACTAAGCTTTTCCTTTTTTTACAGGGCTTTAAGCCATGTGTTCGTATTTCAAGAAGAAAATCCCTTTGGGTTATGTGAATACTTTGAAGACAAATTGTGGGAGGAACTTTTTTCCGAGTTTCATAGGTTGTATCCGTACCCATCGATCCCGAATAAAATTAGTGATTTATTTGTAAACATCGTCAAGGTAGTATATTTAACTTCCGAGGAGGCATGGATTGTACAGTTCTAATTATGTGAGTCTTTTAATATCTACAGATCGCGTGTGAAAATCCAAACCATGTAGAACGTCAAAAACTCGCAAGGCGTTGTTTACGAGATTTTGAAGCCACAATTGAAGATGATGAGATAATTGTGGAGATGTTCAGGGAACTGTATGTTTTGTGAAAACTGCAATAAAAGTTATATGCTCGAAGTGAATTTATTCCTACTTTGTTACAGGATTGACAACGAACAAACTTCGTTCACAAGAAGATATACCGTTGAAGATACCCACACCATTAAAAATATCACCCCGATAGTATTGAGACCGTTCTTCAAGAATAATAGAAAAATTACTTTCGAAGGGTATATATTGATAATTAATGGAGTGGTATCATATTTTTTTCATACGCTAGTGTCTTATTTTTTCTGTTTTCACGCACGCACAGGGCGAATAAAATGTCAGAGTCGCCAGCAAGCGCAAAAAGAAGATTTGACCCTGTACTTCTAGGTACAAAACCCGATTTCACCGTTATGACAGCGAATCCAAGCAAAAACATTGAATTGTTTTTTTGTTGAGATAAAACCAAACAAAACAAGTAATGCCTTAGTTTCGGAAGATCTCATATCCCTTGGGAAAACGATGAAAAGTGCAATAGATAAATCCATCAAAGACGGCGCAGACGACCTCGTCATATGTGGAATGCAGATAATTGGTAAGTACATTTTTGTGAATAAATAATACTGCAATCTATGTTTTTCATATTGAAATTTTCGTTTTTGTTTTCAGGGTTCTTGGGAAGAGCCTACGTTATGGACCTCCGGTTTGAAGGAGTTTATCGAATGATATTAATCGGAGAGTTTGAACTTCCGAGGGGCTCCACATCGTGGGGTACTGTCTTACAGTGCTACCAAGTCCTGAGCATAATTCGGGTAAGCAGACGATCGATTGTGCAGACATTATTTATGTAAGTTTATCGTTAAACCCTGATGTACCTTTCTAGGCTATAGTCAATGATGGGGCCACTTCGTACCAGACTGCAATAAGAATGAAAAATCAATCGAAGTCAAAAATGATGATCAAGCCAATGTTTCACAGTCCGATAAAGGTACCAATCTGCAACAAATGAAACTGGTAACATAGTGTCACTATATTTTATTTTATTGAAGATTTCGCTCAGCAACAAGTGAAAGTTTATTTTGATAAGATAGTTTCCAATTCACAAATTGTGGCTCTTATAGTTAATATGAATAAAGTTGCATATGTCACTGTTAGTATAGTGAATAAAAGCGTAAAGCCTGTCCAGTCAAATACCATGTGCAAATGTTAAAGATATTATAATAAGATATACCTAAAACTGAAGAAATCAAAATGCAAATAGAAGTTCGTATTGATTCTTTCCTTTCGGCTATTTTTGTTTGCCTTTCTCCTTTTTTTAAGCTGTAAGACTACTCATCGAATAAATAAAATATATAAATCATGAGCAAGAAAAAATTCATGTGACATGATGTCAAGATTACCGCAGATCAAGAGGAGCATCTCGTGATTTATAGAAACTCGCCAGCTCCTGGAACACGTGATATGATGTACATCGTACCACAAACTGAGGCGCTGTGCATATGCATGTAAATATAAAATTAGCAGTCACTGGTCATTTCCGGAATCAGGGGGGTCAAATGGATTTACTAATTAAATATGCAGCTTGTCGATCACTTTTT